GGTTTTTTTTTTTTTTTTTTTTTTTTTTTTTTTTTACTTTTTAAAAAAATTTTCCACATTGGTAATTTTAAGAACATATATCATTTTTTTTGACACAAGATCTTTTTTCTTTAAAGCAAACAAAAACTGTTGCAAAGTTAAACAAAAAAGAAAAACTATTTGTTGAGCATTTGCTATTGGAGAAACATGAATGTTGCTTTCCTCAAGGATTCCAAACCTGGTCCCCAAGAATTTTATCTATTTTTTAATACTTAAAGGTTTAAATCAGAATATTCCTTATGTTCTCATTGTAGACTCATTTATACATATGCAAAAAGAAATTTTAAAGTGTGTTTTTCTGAATTCAGAATTCACTCACACACATTTCTTGAAGTTAAGATCTGATGGTGTGGTTGCCTTATTTCATATCTTTCAGGTCAGAAACTTGGCAGGATCTGAGATATCATAGATCTTGAGACTCCAGGATCAGAGAAAAGACAATTTATTACTCACAACTATAGCAGTAGCAGGAATAACAATGTAGCACTGGTTTTCTAAATTGTGATTCTCATAGAGAGATGCAATTAGGGTTAGTAGGTACCAGGCATCGGGGTGCATTGAAAAAGAAGCTTGATATTAGGGAACCCTGGCCTTATATAGGCTCATCAGCCCATCCTCCCCTCCTCCCCTCTTGAGAGAGACATGATCTTTATTATCCTGGTATGTCATGCAGATCTGCTCCAGGGAGAGAGATGTTTCTATCTTTACTTTCTGGAAAATAAGTAAATCTGCTCTAGGAAGAGACATATCTATGTTTGCAAGTCTGCTTGTTATGCAAACATCCTTGAATAGATAGTCTGGAGCAGATTAGTTGTTAATGCATTTGAAAATGTTCAGATACACGAGAAAGCCTTGGAAAATTGTCTCCTTGATCAGAGTTGACATCGCAGTAAGGAAACTGATTTCTTTTTTATTGTAGTGTTAATACATAGCTGATGACTATGGTAGTTTTTTGGATTTTATTTTTTTGTAGTGGTGTTCTCTTTGGCCATTGTGCTGAAATAAACTTTTTTAAAATTTCTGAGCTGACTAATTTCTATAGCCAGGATAAGACCTTAAAACCTTTCCTTCTTTCTCATTCTCCAATATTTTGTCAAAATTATGTAAAATTAAGCTACTGAATAAATAACTTTTAGGGTACAGAGTTTGATGTTTCACTTAGGAACAACATTGTATTTTAAGACTACAAAATGTAAAGTATTATAAGTGTAATGTCAGAATGAATCACGGAGAGATGAATTCCTGTAAAAATATTATAGCAGAGTTATAACAGATATTTGTCTAGTAATTCTTAAGGTTTTGTTCATATTGTTATAATAGAAAAAGCTAATTAGAATATTAAGCTATACGGAATAAAAATCTTACAAGGAAAGTTTGTGTAATGTATGTACTATCCTTCTAAATCTAGTCTGGGACTACCTCTTGTAATAAGCTCTTTGACAGTGTCCCTTCCCTCTCTTACGATTATTGCCTTAGTTCAAGTCTTATTTCTCACTTGTATTGTTGTGATGATTTCTTACTGTTTTTCCTGCTTCTAGTCATTCCAGGTTTAGTGAAATTTATTCTTTGTAACTGTTGTATGTAATGTGCTTCCAGATTCCTATAACCATCCGCTGTCTAATCAACCTTTCTATTTTAGTCCTTCAACGTCCTCTGCAATACATTCTTTGCATAAGATAAACCAGACTACTTGGCCTGTTCCTGAATATATTCTGTGTACTTTCTACATTGTTTTCTATCTTAAACAATTTACTATTCCTTTGTTGGCTCAAATAATATTCATTATTCCTGGCCTAGTTCAAATGTCTGTTTCTCGGTAGCCTGATAAACTTCAGCCTGGGTTAATTTACTTTCATATGTGGCCCTTGGCTTTATGTGCCTCTTCTGTAGCAATTATGTGCTCCTTTGTAACAGAATTGTTTGTGTTTATGTTTGGTCTTTCTATCTAGTTTGTAAAGTCTTGTTTTCCTATGTATTTTTTTCTCCTAGCATGTAAAAGTCACATCAGGAGTTCTGTGTCCTGCTGGCAGAGATCTTCAGCAAATCATCTTAGAGCAATGCTACAGTTTCGTTTGTGTGAATGTAAGTAGTAGATTCCATGACTGAAAGCACTTGAGGATCTGAACAAACTAATTTATCTTGATTCTTAAATATTTGAATATAAGATTTTGATAGATGACTTGTGCTATTTAATATTATTCAGAAATTTTATTTTTTGTCTTTTGAAATAGGGAAAAAACACTTTCTAACAAGCTAATTCCTGTAATGAGAAGAGGGTGATGTTTCTTTAGATAATATTTTCTGTTTTGTACCTGATAGTAAGACACATGTTTGAATTAATGAACAATTTAAATTTTAATGTTTAACCTTATGGTTATCCTCTTAAATTGTTCATAGTTTAAAAATTAAGCTTGATAAATATTTTGAATGTTGTGTAAACTCCATTTTTCTTTTCAAATTTTAAATGATTTAATAACTTTTTTTCACATTATATTTCTGGTCTTTCAGGTTATGACCACTGATTTTCAAGAAACCCAGAAGTTACTGAGTATGCTTGAAGAGAGTAATCTTTCCATTCTGTATCCTGTTGTTGTTGTTTCAGTAAGTGAATTAATGCAGATTTTTTTTTTTTCCTATCAAACTTGTGCTTCCTTCCTTGTAACTCAGTGTTTCTGTTTAACAAAATTTCATTCAATTGAGAGCATTGACCCAAACTCAGAAGAAAAAACTCTTCTTTTCTTTGTGGATTCCTGGGCTTGCTTACTTGCTCTGACTTCTGTGACCACCCTCCTTTATTACTGCAACCATGTGATTGAACTGACAGGTCTGGAAAACTAATTCAACCTAGCAACTAATTTCATTTCTTTTTCTCCATTAAAATTGCAAAACATGTGGCTAAGTTGACTAGTTGTTTGGATAATGTGAAATAATTTTACTTAGCATCTTACCAGAAGGCCAGAAGATAAAAAAACCTGAGGGAAAAAATCTAATGGAAGAAAATTTACATGTGGCTAAGTTGACTAGTTGTTTGGATAATGTGAAATAATTTTACTTAGCTTCTTACCAGAAGGCCAGAAGATAAAAAAACCTGAGGGAAAAAATCTAATGGAAGAAAATTTATTCTTGGATTATTTCTTCTTCTGTTTCATGGAAAGCAAAAGTAGAAAGAGCAAAAATTAAAGAAATTTCCTAGAAGAATGAATGACTCATGAAAATGTCAGAGAAAATTTCCCATAGAAGGCTGAAAGTGTATGTTCAGTGCAGAATTTCTTTGATTAGCCTGTTAAACTGTATAGCATGACTCATGAAAATGTCAGAGAAAATTTCCCACAGAAGGCTGAAAGTGTATGTTCAGTGCAGAATTTCTTTGATTAGCCTGTTAAACTGTATAGCAGAGGGGAATATCAGAGAGCAAAGCTGGGAAGGAACACGATCAGAGGCCAAGCCAGCCAAACTGGCTAAGGAGCAGGATCTGCATTTTGCTGTGGGAAGGGGTTCCAGACATTAAATTCTCAAAAATGCCTAGCAGTTGCCAAGTTCCTAAAGCTCAGGCCCATCCCACAGTGTGGGAATTTAATTCTTGGGTAAGATAATTAATACAGAATAAAGGTAATAATTTGCACTATAAATAACTCTAGACTGAGCAATGCAAGTAGAAACAAATTCGCCTGGGGTAGATTTAATTAATTCAGTGGCCTATTATATTTGGTTATATGCCCTAAAGATAGTTTCCACGGTTGCAGCTGGTTATGGAAACACCAGGGTCCACATGTGACTGATTTTCACAGAAGTATAGAGGCTTTCCTTGAGCTTTTCAGGAACATTATGGAATGTATCCAATGCTGGGAGACTCTAAAGCTCTGTGGGATAAGTTCAAAGTTATGTGTTTGGCCTTCTATTCTTCTCTCCACATTTACTTGTTTAGTAATCTTGTTCACTCCATGTTCCCAGGTATTTTGTATGTATAGTGTAAAGAACTATTCTTCGAACTCAGAATACTTTGGTCCCTCGGTCAAGTTACTTACTTTTCTGAGGTTCATTGTTGTCGGTGTAGAAATGAGGCTAATAACCCTACAGAAGTTGTTGTAATTATTAATATTAATGAATGTGAAGTGAACTTTGTAGTAGAGTGCTGGGCCCTTGGCAGGCGTGCAGTGCTAGTTTTGTTCAATAGTCTAGTTCCTCTTCTCTCCACTTTGGATGAGATGACTCCAAGTTCACTTCCACTGCTGTCATCTGATTTCTGAACTTCAGTTACACATTTTCCACTGTTATATTAGGTACTTCCAGTGGAGTACTTCTCAAATGTAGCATATCAGCTCTGTCACTAAAGCACATTCCCCATAAATTGACTTCTTCTCATAATGCCAATCGAGTGGCAAAATAGACATCCAGGTTGGAATCTGTGTCATATTTGAGTTTTCCTTCTACCTTCTTTTCCCAGCCTCTCTACAAAATAGGGGCACATATGCATCGTGCTCTCTGCTCTCTTTCTCTTAGTCTTTAAAGTATTATTTCTTCTATTCATTGCTACTGTTGTGTATGAACCCCAGGCCTTCCCATTATTTGAATTTAGTTTTCTGCTCACTTCTGTTGAGTTCTGTTTCATGTGTTCCAGTAAATGCCAGAATTGTTTGGCCACCTGGTGTTCTGTGTCAATCTAAGGGAAAAGTTGGATAATCCTGTAGTTTGGGTGGAGATGTCTCTCAGAACTTTTTGAGAATAACACAAGGGTACTTCAAACAGTTCACAAAAACATTCGCATCATCTTTTAATTCTATTTTTCCACAGTCTTTTTGAAGTACACTATTAGTCTGTATGATATAAACACTGTAAAATGATTATTTTAAGTTGGGGGTTGTAACTCCATAATTAATACTTGTATACTTATTATTTTCACATTGCATAAGCAGACTCATATTAAGGTTATTATTAAACTTAACAGGAAAATGATTGGGGGTTGTCACTCCATAATTAATACTTGTATACTTTTTATTTTCACATTGCATAAGCAGACTCATATTAAGGTTATTATTAAACTTAACAGGAAAATGTGTTACTAGAACATATCTAGAATCTGTATCCTTAGGATGGAGCAAAATGCTGGAAAGGATGGAGTTAATAATTCTGACTTCTTAGACGTAGAGGCAAGTGAATAATCTCTGGATTTTTGAATTGTCCTGTAAATGATTGTAAATATGGCTGATCGGGTTTCATCTTGTTTCTTTTGATACCACTTTCACCAAAAGTAACCAAAATACCATTTCAGGTTTTCTGTGAATGCAAATTTGACAGGACCAGTTAAATATTCCCTAAATTAATGCATGTGTGGAAAATACTATGATAATTGCAATAAAGAGTAAAATGAAAGACCTAAATTCAAATCTAGATAGCTTACAGTTTGCATGTTAATAAGACAAAAAAATACACGTACATACACACCCATATACATATCACATTTGGATGTTTAAATGTGAATACATATACAGACATATATGCATATGCATGTGATTAGAAAGATGTTAAACTTCAGGCCATCTGAAGAGAGGAAGGCTTAGTAGGAATCAGTCACATGCAAAGTAAAATTGTATTTATTAGATATTTGTGATGTTTTTCAACTGAGACTACCTAGTTAAGGTTGTCATTTGTAATGCTATGTTTCACTCTACAGGGACAGCTATTTAAAGGAAAATGAGGCTGAAGATCAGTTGGGCATTTGTCAAAAACAAAATTTTGTTAGGTTATGAGTGGTAAAAATTGGTGTCAAGCTATATAGTATTGCTGAAGCTCACGTAGTCTCATATATTCTTGAATAGATACAGAAAAATATTTTGGATTTTCCTGGTATCTGTCATTCAAAAGACATTCAAAAGGTACATGTAACTTTCAACCTCATCCAGAGTATTTATCTCTTGGAGGAAGCTAAGGGCCAAATGAGTGAATAGTTAACGGTGCTAGTTCTTGGTACACAGGTATTTAACATAATTAGATTTTATTTTAGGTTCTGCAGAGGTCTTGACTGCACAAAGATCAACTTGCTCTGGCTTTTATGAAAAGCAAAATGGGTTAGAAAATATTTGATAAAGGAGATTTTTGTAATCTAAGATAAACTGACGCAGGTAAGAGGCTACTCCTTTAAGATCTTTAAGATCCACTTAAAGAAGGTAACAAAATTTTACCATGAAGAGTAGAAAAAAATTGGGACTTTATCTTGGAAAGAACTAAGCTACTAATTAAAATAATTTTAATTCATCTTCCATTTAAGGAAAAACTTGAGGTTATACTTGCAAAATTAAACTTTTTTTAATACTTGCATAACCTTGGGGACACTACATAATGGTATTTTGTGATGTGCTTCATTTCAAGTGTTCATTTTTGTGAAAAGATTTTTGGGCACTCTTAGTTCTTTAAAAATATCCTTTATTAATCCTTTGATAAACATTCTTTTGAAACATCTGTTTGGTCATCATTCTTATTTATTTTCTTGTTATGTTTTAAGTAGTCTAATTCTGCCAAGTTCTCATATTGATGGTATTTAGCATGATTTAAAGTTTACTAATATTACTTTGAACACCTTAATAAAGTTCTTAAGATTTTGTAAACTGAACTTTCTTTCATTGTAATTATACAAGAGTTGTTTAAATGTCTACAATCAGCTAGACAGTGATGGTAATATTGACTCTTTAGGCTGAAATAGATAGATGTCAGAGGTAAAGTGGATAGACACAGCCAGTGGGTCATCTTGTAAGTGTTCTGTTCTTAGTGAATGTGTGTGTGACATTTAATATCTGATGTAATCTTTTAACTGTGAGCTTTTGGAAACACATACTCAGATAACAAACATAGTTTATACTAGAAGACTATTTCCTACTTGGAAGGAAATATTCTTTTTTATTAGAGACTGGTCAGCATAAAGAAATTTTAAAAATTTAGATCCTATATTATGTCTTTTAACAAGAAAAATCTTATACATGTTAAAAACTAGTGTTTTGTAAAAATAAAATTGTGTGGGAATTATGTTTGAAAGTCCTTTACATATGTGATTTCTGATACTGTTTAGTCTATCCTATACATTATCAAAGAGCCACTTTTTCATCCTGAGTTGACTGAAGTTATTGTTAGTCTCCTCTTCTTTAGTACTGCTACCATCTTTGTCAGATTTTATCTGAAAGTTCTTTTCGAAGTGACCAATAGCTATGAGCATGGGAACGTGCCTACTTCTCTATTTTCTACTCTTATTATGTGTTTTTCTTCACTACTTAAAAAATGATAAACAAATACTTAGAAAAAATAAATATTATGTGTTAAGATACTAAAAGGTAAAATCATAAAATTTCTGATGTAAAAATCCCTCAGAAAAAGCATAGGCTTTTACCTAAATTAAGCAAGAATGAAAAGTGCTGAGAGACTGAATTGTAGGCTGAGTTCTCAATGATCAGAGAGCTGGTTTTTTTTTTTTTTTTTTCAGTAATGGAGAAAGGAGGCAAAACTAACTATAGCTGTTTTTCAGCCAAGATTTTTTTAAATCCTCAAATATAGCTTCCCGCGTCCAAAAAGTAAAATAAGATTTCTGGTTTATTTGGTTCTGGCAAGGTTTCCAT